CACACACACACACACGCTCTTAAGACATGCTGAGAATTATTCCTCCCAAACACCTCACAAATGAATCCCCACACTGCAGTTTCACTGAAAAATACACGGTTGTAACAAGTAGGGCTCACTCAGCCTTTTCTAAATCAACAGCAGCACTGGGACCAGAAGAAATAAAACAACTTTGCCACTTACTAAATAGAGTTTCTATACAAGACAAACTTTCAGGGTGATGTAATCAGCCCCTGAAGGCTCTTCTTAACATGAGAAATATGATGTCTGAATAGCTCCTTTATGAGGCGGATTCTCGTCTAATCTACTGACAGATATCAGAGTTGTACTTACAGTAAGGCAGTGTGGGATGGGAGGTCATTCTTCTCACATTGTTTATATTTCTCTTGATCATCTGGGAGAGGAAAAGGTGAGGAGGAGGAAGAGAGTTTTTAGTAAGCCAACATTAGTAGAACTGCAAAACTTCATAATGATAAAAGTGTAATTCTTTAGGAACAAATAACTGCTGTCTACTAGCCCAAAGTTAAACAATATTACAATATTCTATAGCCATTTTCCCACAGAGAATACATCCATTGCTGGCTTCCTTTATCTGTTAAGGTTTTTTTTTGTTTTCACAATCAGTGATGAAACTGGTCACAGCACTGACACAGATCAAGATCATTCACATCCTACATCAGAGACCATCCTTGAACAAAGACTGGTGTGTAGTCTTTGTTAACAAGTGATAATAACTAACCGATACACTTATACAAGACGTGTGTTTTAGGTTTCTGTGCCTTTTTAACCTTAACGTTAATGTGACTGCATTAGAATCAGGCTTGAGCCCCACAAATGTTACTTGGTCTGATCTAGTAAGATTGTCATTACTGTAAAAATGAACAGTGCCATAACATTTATACAATAAGGTGCACGTCTGAAAGAGGCTCATCTGTAGTTCAAATCAACTTAAAAAGGTCGGAAAAATCATGATCTTAATGATTATGCCAAAGTACATATTTAATGCTGCATTTAAGATACAGCATAAATAAATGGTTGTCCTATCATCTTATAGCATACATTGTAGCTCAGTATTTTCTGTCCTGTATTATGACTGGTGGCCCAGCGAGGTGGACATTAACGACATCGCTGCCAAGGATTTTATTTATTATTGTCTCTAAATGTATTCTGCTCCAACCTTGAGCACACTGTCTGACTGGTTGGTAAAATAATTACCATGCAGAGTGGCTCTTACTGTCCAGTCTGCATATCAAGAGCAATGAGCGAGCTGGTTAATATCAACAAACATGACTCACAACTATTCGATTCAAAAACACTGCTACCGCCAGAATCAAATCACTCTTCTCTCCCAACTGCGAACGCCAAGTTTCTCAGCTCAGTAAAACAGCTTTCACAGACTTTTCCATTTAAAAAAAAAAAACAAACATAGAAAGTGATTGGGCCTGGTGTCTCATGAGCTGTAGGAGTCAGCAACATCTGTGTTCCTTTGTAAGTCAATGAGGGAAGCTCATGTTAGCAGCCATGATGCTTTTGGCAAACTAAACCCCAGACAAAGATGAATTATTAATTGAAGTCATTTAAACTGCTTTGAGGATTTAGCTTTGAGTACAAAGAAGGGCAGATCAGACAATATCAATTAATTCCAGAAAAGCAGTGAGGAGTGTATCAAATCCACGGGTAGCGTCACTGTACTGTCTGTGGGAGCTTGAGGGACCATACTGCTGGGGGTTTTTTAGGTTTAGTTGAACTAAAAACTGAGTTTACTTCATATTGCAGCTGAACATTATTGTCCAGAGATTCATTTCCAAACTTCAAGACAACAACTTATTAAGATGAACCACTTCCCCAAAAACTGAAGCTGACTAACTGTTCACTGGATATCCTGTTATTTTATTATCTGATGGTAATGCAGTTTCCAAAAGCGACAGTTTTAAAACTCACACATTTAGTGACGCTCCAACATCTGAGGCTCATTCATCACTCATTCTTTTCAACATTACAATGACACATTGGTCAACAATGTGATACATGTGTAATTTTGACCAAAAAAACAAAAACGATGACGTTTTTTGTCACTATTAGTTTTTTGTGTGTATTTTTTTTGTGTTAAGTGTATTTTCATACTGTGCTGAGATTAAATGCAACAGCAGCTTAAAAAAAAAAAAAAAGGTATAAAACAAAAAAATGAGGGCAGCAACTAAAAATGTATTTCACTATCAATTAATATGCCAGTATCTGATGATTTTAAATCTTTGAGATTCTCTAAACCTTGTACAGTTGATTAACTCTCCTACTCGCCCAAATCCCAAATTTCCAGAGAAGGCCACCTTAATTGACCTAATTTTAACTAATGTTCCTGGTTTACATAAGTAATCTTATCAAGGTTTTTAATCAAGATTAATCACGATCGAGTTGATGGCTGATGT